GAGAGAGAGAGAGAGAGAGAGAGAGAGAGAGAGAGAGAGAGAGAGAGAGAGAGATAGAGGGAGAGAGAGAGAGAGAGAGAGAGAGAGAGAGAGAGAGAGAGAGAGAGAGAGAGAGAGAGAGAGAGAGAGAGAGAGAGAGAGAGAGAGAGAATTTTATTTTATGGGCTAATTTCTGATATAGATTCCAGAGCATACCCACTAGACTGCCTTTGAACTTAGAGAGAAAGCTGGCAAGGAGCCTATGGGAGAATTGTGTGTTTATGAGTGTATCTTTTTCACAGAGCTATTAGCTCAGGATCAAGCAACTCGCTGTACCCTACACATATACCCACAGAGCACTCTGTATAAATCTATGTAAATATAAGCCATTGTTATTATTATCATACTGTGTTTTAATCATTTTATTTTGGTGCTTCACTTATAAGTTCTTGGCATTATAGTTTGGGGAAAATACTACAAAGCTAAACTATTCATGTTTGGGAAAGGATATTAACAATACTGGTGATATCAGAAATGTGAAATCCATCCTACATAATTGGAATGAGATCTTCTCAGAGGATCTGAGTGCTATGATTGCTGTATTAATGGCAGTAATATTACAGATTTTAAGCATTTGTCTCAAATTGATATGGACCATGCAAGAGCTATAGGCTTTTACAGTCTTGATTTCTGACTAATGAAGCTACAGTAAACTTATATTGTAAACCCAAGGGAAGTTATGCATTCAATTTATTTATCTATTGTGCTCTGATTCTTGGAACATGTTCTGGCATTAATGGAATTGTTTAAACTAGAAGATGCTACAATGGCTATTCCTTTTTCTAAGATGGACTTGTTTGTTATCTGTTTGGATTTTGTGCCTGTTTGTATCAAATTTGAATTGTGGCATTCTTTGGATAAATTAGACTAATAAGAAATGAGGGATAGTAATTCTCTCCCCCTTTGAACTTGGAGGCCGAGGAGGGCAGCCTTGTAGGACACTCTTGAATAAGGAGAACCTTAGTTCTTCTTAGTGCATTAGTACTAGAATATTCTCAAAGATGCAGTTGATAGAGAAGAAACTGGGCATCTGGATAAATTTCTAAAGGACTACTTAAAAATTGAGACTTTTGTAATGTACTATTTGTAACATCTTGTTAAGAGCACTATTAATGAAGTAAATCAGCTGGTATAGTGGATACAGCACTGGGCCTAAAGTCAGGAAGACATCTTCCTGAATTCAAATCCAGCCTCAGACACTTACTAGCTGTGTTACTCTAGACAAGTCATTTAACCCTGTTTGCCTCAATTTCCTCATCTGTAAAATAAGCTGGAGCAAGAAATAGCAAACCACTCCAATAGCTTTGCCAAGAAAACCCCAAATAGGGTCATGAGGAGTTTGGACAACTACTGAAAAATTACTAAACAGCAAACAACATCAGAGCCTGAAGCCAGTGTAGTCTGGGGCTATTGGGAGGTAGCATTGGGGGGAATAAGAAGATAGAGCAGAAGCTCCTGGGCAACCTCACTCTCCCTAACCCACCTCCAAAAACCAGTGGGATTTCTGGACCTTGTCAGAGTCCCAGTAGGACTAGCTAGTTCCTGGTACAGAAATGTCCAAAGAGATGCAGTTGTGACAGAAGCACTCCATTGCGTAGAGGAAAGGTAGAAATGTCCCTAAAGAGAGCAAGGTGGTAAAAGTTGTCATATTGGACCAAGTACATAGAGAGGAGGTTAGTGTTGCAGTTAAAACAATTGTGAAGTCATTGAAAGATATACAAAGTATTTGAAGGAGGGAAAGATAGAAAAGGCATGGAAATTTTTTTTTCAGACTGTATTAATACCTACCCCCAAATGATCAAACTTAAAAAAGTGCACCAAGTCCTTCTGTAATTATCTCCCATTTATCATGTCTATATCTTGTTCATACATAGTTGTTTACATGTTGTCTCCTCGGTCAGAAGGGAGCTCATTGAGAGCAAGGACTGTTTTTGCCTTTCTTTGTATCCCCTGTGCCTGGCAACACAGTAGGTGCTTAATAAATGTTTATTGAATTGACCTAATTGATCTATGTGTCTTCTCTCTCCAGTACAAATTTTTATGAGGGTCATCTACACATGAATCAAAAGCATCCATTGATGAGGGTGTTTGTTAGTAGAAAACAAAGCAGGCTTTCACAAGCAATATTAAAGAGGCAGCTAGGGAGCACAGTGGGTAGAGTGCTGGACCTGGAGTCAAGGAAGACCTGAGTTTGAATTCTGCTCCAGATCTGTATTGGCTGTGTGACCCTGGGCAAGTCACTTTACCGCTCTGCACCTCAGTTTCCTCATCTGTAAAATGGGGATAATAGCACCCACCTCCTAGGCTTGTTGTAAGGATCAAATGAGGTAATATTTGTAAAGTGTTTTAGAAACCTTAAAGTGTTATAGAAGTTCCAGTTGGATCACACTCTTTATTAATTTCAATAGTTAATTATCCATCACTTCAAGGTGAGGAAGATCCTAGGTAGCACTTTCTCAGTGCAGTCTTAGAGAGGTGCACAGAGCCGGGGGACGGGGGTCCCCTAACCAGCTGGGGTCAGAAGCGACACTTGAACCCAGCTCTTGGCGGCTCCCCATCCGCTAAGCCACGCTTGCCTTCTCCTACCACGGGACGAGACTCCTAAGAGGTCAGCATTGCAAAGGTGCCGCGATGCTCCATCTCCCGGACGTCCCCGCGCTAGAGCAGGGACCGGAGCGAGGCGGGCTCGCGCTGGGCGGGGCGGGGCTCCCGAGAGTCCCGCCCACTCCTCCCTGCGGGGGGCCGCGGGCTGGGAGCGGCGCCTGGGCCGGGGACCCGGAATCGGAACCAGGACCCGGAGCCGGAGCCGGAGCGGCGCCGGAGCTGCAGCCAAGCCGGGGCATGGGGCCGCGCGTGCTGCTCGTGCGCATGGGCCGGCTGTCCTACGCCGACGCGCTGGGCCTGCAGGAGCGCTGGCTGCGGCGGCTACAGGCCGCGCGGGGGCCTGGCGCCGAGGCGGGCGCGCTGCTGCTCGGGGAGCCCGCGGGGCCCGCCTACACGGCCGGCCTGCGGGGCGGGCTAGAGCCCGGCGAAGAGGCGCGGCTGCGGGCGCTGGGCGCCGACGTGCGGCGCACGGGCCGCGGCGGCCTCGCCACCTTCCACGGGCCCGGCCAGCTGCTGGCCCACCCGGTGCTGGACCTGCGGCCCCTGGGCCTCCGCCTGCGGACGCACGTGGCGGCGCTAGAGGCCTGCGCCGTGGGCCTGTGCCGCCGCCTGGGCCTCCCGGCCGCCCTGGCCCGGCCCCCGCCCTACACCGGCGTCTGGCTGGGGGACCGCAAAATCTGTGCCATCGGTGGGTGACCCGGGAGGGGAGGGGGGTGCGGGCGCGGGGACCCTACAGGAGGAGGGATCACCCCACCTTCATTTGTACATAGAAGGAAACCGAGGCCCGGAAACGGGGAGTGGACTTCCCTGCAGTCACTGAGGCCCAGAGTAGCAGAGACCAGGGATTTGAACCCAGGCTGTCAACGATTCCAGCGTTTGTGTGCTGCACTGCATAGGGACCAGGGGCCTGGAACCGAGGGACTTTAGAGGCACGCTGGGGGCAGACCCTTGGGACTCTTGGAAAGACAGAGGAGATGTCATGGGGCAGGGTGTGCAGGACAGGCCAGGGGCAAGGCCTTCTGGGCCCCTCATCACCTTGGGGTGACCTGCTGCAGTGAACAGAGGACTGGGGAGCTCAAACCTCCTTCCTGATCTCCTCTGTTGTGAGTATTTAATCCTCACTTTAATTTATTGCAGCTTGGCTCATGGGAAGACCAGTTTTCAGGTCCCCAAGGTGACACGTGGGGCAGCTAGGTGTCAGAGTGCATAGAGCACCAGCCCTGGAGTCAGGAGGACCTGAGTTCAAATGTGGCCTCAGATACGTACTAGGGGAGTGACTCTGGGCAAGTCATTTAACCCTGTTTGCCTCAGTTTCTCATCTGTAAAATGAGTTGGAGAAGGAAATGGCAAACCACTTGGGTATCTATGCCAAGAAAGCCCCGAATGGGGGTGACAATAATTATCTCATTTGAAACAACTAAACAAGGAAGGTGACAGATAACTAGCTTTGCTGTAGTTGCAGAGCAGGTACTAGTGCATTAGTACAAGTTTCCTCATCTGAGAGTTCCCTATACCAGTGAAATATCAGACCCTGTCCTTATCACTTTGTAGAGACTGAGGCTGAAAGAGATTAAGTGACTGGCCAGATCATAAGTGTCTTAAGGCAGAATCTGAATTCAAGATGTCAAGTCTATGACTCCATCTATTTTGCCATGATGCAGGATTTGGCAGGTTGTGGATGTGAAAAGTAAGGCATAGAGTTCCAAACATTGTTTTGTAAGCCAGGCATTAAGAATTCTGGTCATATTTTCCCCCAGAAATGATGATGTGTAAAAGGTTGCCTCCTCAGGCAAGCCCCTAAGGACTTGTTAGCCTACAATTCACCTGAGCTAAAGCATTAATAGTATTGTCTAGAGCACCTATTGAGGAGTCAAGACCTGAGTTTTAGCCCCCACTCTTATCGTTGCGGAGTTTTGTGACCTTGGATAAGTCAAATTCCCTCTCTGTGCCTCAGTTTCCTTTTCACTGAAATGGGTAGATCAAGTTTGAAATAGGAAGGGATACATTTCACCCTCTCCCATAGGGGTTAGGGTAGATACCATTAAGCACTCGGAAACTTGTTAACTCTCTTCATCTGCCCAGGAGACCCAAAGAACCAGAAAGGACCTTAGAGCATAGGTGTCAGATCTGGAAACGCTTACCACACAGGACTCTTCTCTACAGGGATGTTACATCTATGATTAGCTTCCTGTGGCCTAGGAGAGGAACATGGTTTCCTTTTTGTCTTCACTTGCTGATATACCTATATTTCTGAAGCTGAGAGGGTTTACTAATATGCAGGATAACAGAATCTAAAAGCTTTCCGGTGAATGGAACATCAGTCCGAAGGTAACAGGACAAAACTTAATAGAGATCATTGTAAAGTCCTGTGCTTGGGTTCAAGAAATCAATTGTAAAAATAGAAGACGGGCAGAGAATGGCTCAATAAGAGTTCATATGAAGAGGACCTGGGGGTTTTCATACTCGTCAAGCCTAATAAGAGTTAGCAAAGAGATATGGCAGCCCAAAGGGACATATGAATAGAGATGTCCAAGATGAGGGAGGTGATCAGTGGCCATTCCACCATCCTCCACCCTGGTCAAATTGCAAATGGAGTATTTTTTGTTGTTCTCGTCATCACATTTTAGAAAGGAAATTTACAAACTCTGAAGCAGGGTGACCAGGAAGGAACTAGGGATTGGTTGACAGAACTGGGGGTGTTTGCCCTGGAGAAGGGAAGGTGAGGGTCACCACGTGGGTAAGGGATTGAATTGGTTTTTCTTGTCCTCAGAAAACAGATCCATTGACAGTGAGCTTAAGCTGAGGAAGGGCAGATTTCTGCTTAAAACAAGGAAAACCTTCCTAAACACTAGAGCTATCCTAAAATGGAATGGGATACTTTGGGAGGTAGTGAATTTCCTGTCATTAGAAAAGCTGGATCATCAGTTGTTGGGGAGGCCAGTGAGAGCACTTCTACATTGACTGGGGTATTAAACTCGATAACCTGAGGAGCCTTAACGTGAGCTTGGATTCTCTGATTTCAGGGGTCCGATGTGGAAGGCACATCACATCACATGGTTTGGCTATGAACTGCTCCACAGATCTGACGTGGTTTGAGCACATTGTCCCCTGTGGCCTGGTGGGAATGGGAGTCACCTCCCTCACTGAAGAACTCCAGAGGCGGGTCACTGTGGAGGAGGCCACAGACCCCTTTCTGGAAGCCTTTGAAGAGGCCTTCCAATGCACACTGACATTGCACCATGAAGATAGTGATTGAAGAGACCTTTCCCAAGGGGTCAGCCCCAGGAACCCAGCATCAATCAAACTGCTGGCCAGCCTGAGAGATGGCCTGGGAATGGACAGAGATTATTTGTAATGAGCACTGGACTTGGGAGTTAGAAGGCCAAGATTCAGATCTGGGCACTGACATTTAACCAGCTGTATCACTTTTCTCTCTCTGGGTCTTGGTTTCCCCATCTGTAAAATGGGGGAAAGTCATATTTGCACTGCTTACCTCACAAGGCTGTTGTGAGGAATAAGTTTTATTTTGGGGGAAGGAATTGAGAGAGATGGTTTCATATCCCTGCTCTGACCCAGTAGGCATACCTATGGGTTAGGTGCTTCATCTGTGAGCCTTTGTTCCCTTGAATGAGGGTAATAACGGTTGTACTGCCTACCTCACCAGATTACTGTGAAGAAAGTGCTTTGTAAGTCTTAAAGGCTGTAAAATGAGGTAATATATATATTTAAAATCTTAATTAAAGCTATATAAAAATGAGAGATTTTTATTTAATGACCCCATGCTGGCATATGTCATATTAATAAGGGAAGACAGAACATAAAGTGGAGTTAGAAAGGGGGGGTGGGTACCCCTCACACCCACCTGGGGTCAAGGTAGCTGGTGGGAAGATGGAGTAATTCAGTGTTTAATAAGTGGGTCTTAATTGATTAGAATAATGGAAGGAAGCTGGAAGAGATCTTAGAAATCAAGTAGTCCTAGTGTCTTTTTTTACAGATGGGGAAACCTAAGCCCAGATAGATTGAGGGACTTTTCCAAGGATACACAGTTAATCACTGGGAGATCTGGGACTTAGTAACAGTTTCCCCCAATTTCCAATTCAGGGATTTTTCTTTCCTGTTTCTTAGCACCAACTTCAAGTATCCAACACCAGACTGTGCTCATTAAGTATTTGTTGGCTGAATGATAGTGGGTGAACTAAGGGCATATCCCCTCGGCCATAGCTTCCTCGTCTAAAGAGCTAGTACCATTCCTCTACCTCATGGAGCTGCTTGTCGTGTGATGGAGGCATAACCAAATAACCGAATTTACTGAATCCTGAAATTGTAAGGGCCTTTGGAGGTAATCTAATCCTCCCCCCAATTCCAGGACTATTCAGGGGTGCTCATCATAACCCTTTCGTTCCTGTCTCTGGCTCAGTATTTAGTCTTTCCAGTGCAGTAACTTTACTCCTGTAAAATGAAGGGTTTGGACTAGATCTTTAAAATTCACTCCCGCTCCCAGCCTTTGTTCTCTAGTCACACTGGCCTCAGGCACTCTGTGGTCTGTGGTCTGTGGTCTGTTCTCTAAAGGCTTTATCCTTCATACAGTTCAGGGCCTGGTGGTGACTGAGTTCTTTTGGCTCAGGGGTTCACTTTTACCAGCTATGGGGTATAAAGGCCTCATAGCTGATTGGTACACTGAGGGGACTAAAGCAATTCGAATGAAAGTCATCGTGATATAAGAGGCATTTGGGAAGGAGAGCTGGCCTTGGAGGGTCAGGAAGACCTTAGCTCAAGTCCTGTATGGTATGACCTGAGACAAATCACTTAATCCCTCAGTCCCCTCTTAGACTACAATTTGAAGATCAGTTGCTGATCTTAATTGGTAGATCAAATTTCCTCAAGGGTTCCCTATATCAATCAATCAATTGAAGAACAGTGGCTGATCTTAATTAGCAGATAGTTCCTCTCCCTCAAGAGTTCCTTCCCTATGTCAATCAATAAACAAGACTTTAGTAAGCATCTACTCTGTGCTATATCAGCAGAAAACAGGTTCTGTCCCTTTCCCTTTACAAAAAAAAAAAGCATCGACCTAGCATTCCAAAGACCCAGGCCCAGCTACAACACCTACTAGCCATGCTAACCCTCTGGGCAAGTCATCTTATCTCTTCCTTTACTCATTTGTGAACTGAAGGTTGCGTGCTACACTCTCCACCTCACGGTCTGGTTGAGGACAAGTTTAAGAAAAGGTTAGTAGCAATAAAAGACACCATGCACTAGCATGTGACTAAGTGCCCAGTGTCCAGGAGACAGTCGGTGAATCCTAGAATCCCAGGGTATCTGAGGTGGAAGGGAAATCGGAGGCTGTGCTTCCTTAGACTTTAGCGCCCATCTCTATAGGGCTTTGCAGCCCAAGGAGAGCTCAGAGCTTCAGTGACTGGCCAGTTCCTAAGATGTAGAAAGGGAGAGGGCCCTTGGAAATCTCATCCAAATCTCACATTCACTTTCATCCTGCAGAAGCCCAGAGAAGAAAAAGAACCTCCTAATGTTGGGACCTGAGGAACCATACATCTAGTCTGCCCCACACTTGAACATTGCCCCCAGCCCAACTGAGTACATTCGCCTCCAAGTTATCTGGTATTCACTTTTTATAGGCTCTCCCTCTCCACCCCCCTCTCTATATAAACTTGTGTAATGTATGTTTTATATATTTATATACACACACATACCTAATGCCCCCACCACCACCGATAGAACATAAGCTGTTTGAGGGTAGACCGATTCTTTTTAATCTTTGTATCCTTAGCACCTAACCTGGTACATAGTAGTTACTTAACAGATAATTATTGATTGATTAAATAAGCATACTCACTACAGTGTTCCCAACAAGTGCCATTTCAAGTTGGAAGACCTTGGTAAGGGGAAATCCATTATCTCCTAAAGGGAAAGGATTCACCTAAGGTTATGAGGCAGCTGGGTGGTACAGTGAATATAAGGATTGGACTTAAAAGTCAGAAAGACCTGAGTTCAAATTCTGCCTCAGACACATATCTGTGTGACTATAAACAAGTCACTTAACTTCTCAGCCTGTTTCCTTATCTGTAAAATGGGGATAATAATCTAGGCAGCTAGGTGATTCAGTGCATTGAGCACTGAGCCTTGGATATAGGAAGACCTGAGTTCAAATTTGGCCTCAGACACTTACTAGCTTTGTGATCCTGGGCAAGTCACTTAACCTTTGATTGCCTTAATACACTGGAGAAGGAAATGGCAAACCATTCCAGTATCTTTGCCAAGAACCTTGTGTACAGTATCGGTGTGGTATGATCCACAAGGTCGTGAAGAATCAGCCACAACTGAAGGGCAACAACAAAGTTGTAAGAATCCCAATGAGATCACATGTAGAGTGCTTTGTAAATGCTAGTTATCGTTATTATCATTACATGTGGGAACCCTAGACTTGGGTCCTACCCAATGCAGGAATCTTCTCTGCCTGCCTCCCCATGACTGATGATCTTCCAATCTCTAATCTAACTAGGAGTAAGGGTCTCACTGCCTCCTGAAGCAGCCTATTTCACTGTGGGATAGCTCTGATTGTTAAGAAATTCTTCCTTACATTGAGACAAAATGTGCCTCACACGTCTGCCCTGCCCCCCCCAAAAAAGAATCAGATAGTTGGAGATTAACCAATCCACCTATACTTACTAATACCTATATTTGTGCTGGGCACTGTGCAAGGTCCTGGGAATACAGACAACTCTGTTGAAAACTCTCCAGGAGTTTGGAGGGAGACAACAAAAATGCTGTGGTTTCTTGTATGAAATGGGAGAGGAATCTTTTTCCTCCCCACTCTTCCAACTAATAAAGGCTGCAGTGAAATAAATACTCAACCATTTCCATTTGGGAACATAGTCACAAGTTCCTAATCTAAAAGGGTGGTAGTCCTTGCCTTTGAGACAAAATATGTGGCATCAGTCAGTTGAAAGTGCTGGACATCAGAGGATCTGAGTTCACATCCTGACTCTGGCACTTGCAATTGGACTAGGTGACCTCCAAAGTCTTTTCCAGATCTAAGTCTGTGAACCAACTTAGGTCATGCTGAGGGGATAGTCCCCCAAGAGAAGGTCAGTGATTGTCAGCAATCTTGAATTTCCAGGTTAGCCCAAGCAGTGCTGATCCAAAGCAGGACTCCTTGTCCCTCAACACTGAAAAATGCTGGCTAATGTTGTACTGGATAATCTTTCATTCCCATCAGCACCAATGTCAGCCCCAGGCGCCCTGCTATCACTGGGAAGAATTATGGGAGGCTACATTCCTTTCCAGAAAGGAAATGTCCCCCATCAAAGACACCCGGATTAATGGCTCAGTTTCCAAACCTTTGTTGACTTTGGCAGGCTCAGGATTTGGGCTCAGCTCTGCTAAATGGCTTTTGTTGACTCACTCTCGCACCATCATAGCTGGAAGGGCTCTTTGAACACAGAACATGGTATGTTAGAGCCAGAAGGGACCTTAGGACAAAGAATGTTTGACCAGGGAGTGGAGACCACATAGTCACAGATTTTAAATGTGCATAGATCTCGAACTAGAAGGAACCAAACCTCTCATGCTTAAAATTATGAACTGAGAAAGCATTGTTAAACAAGATCATTCCCATATGTAAAGGCCAGAAAAAAGGATTGTTTGAGAAAACATGAGTCCATTATGTACAGCTTGGTATAAGTAGCTATGCATGTATGTATATGTTATGTATAGGAATAGTACATGAATCTTATATACAGCTTCCTATATATGTATATGGATTATATATGAACACATGAGTCCATTATATGTAGATATATATAAATGAAAATAATCACAGGAGGAAATGAGCATTTATTAATCACCTGCTACATGCCAGGCACTGTGCTAAGCACTTAAAAAATATCATTCATTCCTCATAATAACCCTGAGAGGTAGGTGCTATGATGATCCCCATTTTATAGTTGAGGAAACTGAGACAGACAAAGGTTAAGTGACTTGCCCAGGACACAGCTACTAAGTATCTGAGTCCAAATTAGAATTCAGATCTTCCTGACTCTAGGTCCAGCAAACTATCCACAATACCACCTGGCTGCCATGTGTGTATACATGTGTACATAATAGAAATTTAACTTGATAATATCAGTAGTGTTTTGTGTGACTGTACCTTTCTGAATTCCCTCTGTCCTCTTCTGTGTATTTTTTAAATGTTTCATTCATGCTTTTTTCTTTCTTTACTACCCAACATGTAGCCACATACACACAAATAAATATACCTCTTGTAACAGCTATGGTTGAGCAAAACAAATGTGTGTTGTATTGGTAGTACCTGAGAAATGTATATCATTTTGCACCTATAGTCCATCACTTCTTTCTCATCAGTCTTCTGGAATCCATACAGTTATTGCATTGATTAGATTTCTTAAATCTTTCAAAGGTGTTTTTATTTACAGTATTGGGGTCATTGTGTAAAGGTTCCTGGTTCTCAATTCATTCTATCACTTCATATAATAATAACACTTCCTATCAAGGTGGCTGCCCAAGTGGGAGGCCAACTGCCTACCTCCCACATATCTATCTATTGCAGCAAAACCCTGATGCTCACCGTCAACTGAAAACTGATCAAGAAATCCAATGAGAAACTACAATATCTGACTTCTTCCACCCCAGAATTCCTACAAAATTCCTACAAAAAGGCAGCCAGAATCCCACAGGCAAAAGGAAAAGGGTCACCTCCAGCCAATCCAGCCCCGGTGGTCTCCCAGCTTGACCAGATCCTGCAAAGCTCTGAGGCTGAGGCAGCAAGAGTGGAGGGTTCTCCTGAGAAAGCCCCACCATGGGGACCTCGGAATTCCTGGAGAATGGCAGTGGGAAGGACAACAATCAGACCAGGACAGCCAAGGTCTAGGAGCTCTGAGGTCCCTAACACTTTCCCAAGACTCCAGAGAGGGCCCTGAGGATCCAGCACTCTCAACTTTAAAGATCTGGGGAAGATGGGACCTAGCCATGTAAGGTGGAGGTCAGTGCAAGAAGCTAGGGGACCTCCCAGAATGAAGGTTGACTACTCCACCAAAAGTGCAGCAGAGAATAGATCCTGGCCCCAGCACAAAGCCCCAGTTCAGGAGCTAAAGCTGGAGAGATGAATAAATCCAAGATAACGTTGATCAATATCAAAAACTGTTGAAAATCTAGAGCTCCCCAGTAATAATAACTTGCATTTCCATCACATCTTAAGGTTTGCAAAGTTCTTCACATATGTTATCTAAGTCATCCCTTACAACAAAACTCTGTCAAGTGGGTGCTATTATTTTCTCCACTTTACAGATGAGGTAACTGAGTCAGGTTAAAGTGGTCACTTAACTAGGAAGTATCTGAGGCAGTATTTGAACTCAGGACTATGTGGACTCCAAGTCTGGCACTTAATTTACTATGCCATCTAGCTCTCTCTAATTAACACTCTCATTTTACAGATGAAAAAACCGAAGCCCAGATAGGAGAGTAAGAGACATAAGGGGGCAGGCATAGTAAGAGAACTGTGGAAACAGTAGAGTAAGAACAGGAGGGTAGAGAGATTGAGAGGCAGAGGTTGGTGAGTGAGAGAGATGGAACAGAATGAAAAGATAGGGGAAATTGGAAGGAAGGAGTCAGATGGGAAAATGAAAGACTGAGCAGGAAAAGAGATAGATGAGGGAGAATGAGAGACACAGATAGGACAGGGAGAGAGATGAGAATAAAAAATGGAAAATGAAAGATGGGCTAGTGAGAAACAGATGGATCTGGGGGAACGAGAGAGATGTGAAAGGCAGCGGTGGAAGGATGTAGTATAACAGACAAAGGGAGTAAGAGCCAAGACTCAGGGGAGAATGCGAAAGAGAAGAATCAAAGAGATAGAGGTAGGGGAAGGAGAGAATGAGAGACAAAGTCAGAGGGCCATGGAAGCAGGAGAATAAAGAGATGGTTGATGCTAATAGACCATGCTCAAGATGGGCTTAGACTGGGTGAACAGTAGAAACTAGAAGGCTGTGGACTCCCACTGAGTTACAGTTAAAAATAAACAGACTTGGCCCTGCTACTTCCTCCCATGACTCATTTTTCACTCCCAGGGAGAGCTAGGCTGAAATCTCCAATCCCAGTGACTTCTTACTCAGGCATCACTTGCAGTGGACCAACTGTCCTTCTAGACCTAATTTCAACCCACACTCATCTCCCCCCTTATCATGGTGCCTAAGCACCTGTACAAATATACCTGGAGGCATTTGATGGTGTTCAGTTTTAATCTCAGCCTCCCCCTTCATAATGAGAGTTCCACCTTTCAGAACGACCCATATTTATATGTCTTCTGGCTTTCTTGCTGTTCTTCATACATACTCCCATTTCACTTTTCAATGCCTTTATACTGACTGATTCCCATTCCTAGAAAGTACTGCCTTCACCTCTGCCTCTTATAATCACTTGTTTCCTTCCAAGCTCAGCTCTAGTCTCACTTTCTACATTGAGGTCTTTCCTGACCCCCTAGCTTCCAGTGCCTTCCCTAACTCAATGATCTTGTATTTTTGTGATTATTTTGTATATTCTTCTACATATATACATATATAGACATACATATGTGTGTGTATATACACACATCTTATCTTCCCCAGTGGAATGTAAGTTCCTTGAGGCCAGGGACTTTCTTTTTTGTCTTTATATTTCCAATGTCTAAAACAGTGCCAGACACATCTTAGATGCTTAATAAAGGTTTGTTGATTGATTTAATCCCAATTTTACAGAGGAAGAAACTGAGGTTCAGAAAAGGCAACAAACTAATAAACTGAAGAGCAGGGATTCATTCCCCAATCTTTTGCTGACATTTTTCCCCCATACCATCCTTTCTCCCTGGTGACGAGGTTGGTTGCAAAGACTAGGTTGGTAGCAGATTCTTACTGCATTCCAATGTTAGTAGAAGGTTCCAATCTTTTGCTATCCCCTGGCTGGAGATCTGCCTCCCACACCACCATATGGCCCCAG